ACATGAATGCACAGTCTGAAGAATGCCAGATATGAAGCAAATATTGCACTGTCATCAAAGGTTTAAAAATTGAAGCTTTGTTTGTTACATCTTGCCAGGTAATTTTCACTCTTTAGCTTTTTATTTCCTACCTACCTCCTGGGAGGTCAAGGGTCACAGCTTCTCCCCATATCCCAAAACTCTGTAAAAACCCAGAGTTTTCTTGGCTGTACTCTGTGAAATGTCACTCATTCTGTGTGCTTCATTTCTGTTCTTCCTTTTTTTTTTTTTTTTTTTTGACTGAGCAATGTGAGGTTCCCAAGTGCCCTTTCTGAGGGCAGAAGTTTCAGAAGTGAACCTACAGGGGCTGGCTGTGTGGTTAACGAGGTCTTCCTGTCTGCTGCTTTTAACCACCATGCCACTCACCAAAGCTTTCAGACTCTGGGCCATCTCTGGAAGGAATAGTACCTGGCAGTATCACATTTCTGCTGTCACCACAGCATCTTGGAGTGAAAATGAACATCTGGACAAGCATTTAGAGAATGACATTGTAAAGACTGACATATAATTAAAGGGGACACATAGAGGCAGAAGCAGCCCCATCTCTTCTTTCTTGAAAACAGAGGACAATATATGATCTGGTTGTATTTCCCCACACTTATTGTGTAACATCCTGGTGGGATTCTCTTCTTCCAATCTACGAGGCCCCTTGTTTATTTTCAATCTAAAGAAGAGTGGTTACAAATGCAGGGACCAAGGGAATTCGCTGGCATTAACAAGTACCCTAAGAAGCATCAACCTATGTGGTTCCAGTTATGTGATCCTGGGTCTCATCTTGCTGGTCCTGAGCCTGGCATAATGAGTTGTTCATAGAAGGTTTCCAATTAACACTGATGAACAAAGATACAGTTAACGTAGTTTCCAAGTTTTCAGTATTTATGTTCCCTTGTCCTGATCCTCTTCATTTTTAATGGGTCTTGATATGTCTAGTCCTTCTCCAGTTCAGCTGTCATATCTAATTATATACCTAATGTATAATGAAGAACTAAAGGCATTTTGAGAAAGGAGTGTGATTGGGAAATTTTTAAAGGACAGTGCTTCCCCCCCATAAATTATAACTTTGAAATAATTTCATTACTATATCAAATACTTGTCAGTACCAGGGAGTGTTCAAGCTAAGAAAAGTTTCATATTCTTGCCATTTAGAGAAATAGGAACAAGAAGAATGAGAGCTACTTTCTTCATATGATGAAGTTGTCTTCAAGTAGGACTGAAAAAATTGTTTCAAGTCTTGTGATCTAATAGCCTCTGTCCTGTTTGTGCTGTTCTAATACTGATGTAGTCACAACACAGAACTGATAGAACACGGCCGTGTGATAATGATACTTTTTACGGACACTTGAAATTGAACTTCATGAAACTTTCACATAATAGCATGAAATGTTATTTTTTGTTTATATTTCCCAAACTCTTGTTGACAACTTCTAGAAAAACAGAGGCAGACTGTGTTAGGCATAAAGCCCTTGGTTTGTAGATCCCTGTTCTAGGGGAAAATGAAATCCAAGCAGAATGAATCTTCCTCAGCCTCTCAGACACTTGGAATCATCAGGTTGTTTGAAGGATATCAGTGGCCAGGTTTTCAAGATTTAGGAAATCAAAGCTGTATTTTGCTTTTGACTCATTAGAGTTCAGTTGGGGCTTTTTTAAGTACTGAGGGTTTAACTCAGGACTTTCCCACTGAACTACATTTCCAGCAAGTTGTTTTGCTTTGTTTTGTTTTCTTTTGTTTTGCTTTGTTTTGCTTTGCTTTGTTTTGTTATTTGACAGAAGACCTCACTAAGTTGCTCAGTTTCCCCACGTGGGGTTGAACTTGCAAGCCTTTTGCCTCCATCTCCCAGAGGGCTGAGATTATAGGCAAGTTCCATCACACCTAGCAGAGATGTGACTTTTGGTCAAAAACTGACCAAAATAATATAAACATTTTCTTTTATCCTGAGGAAATAATTCTATAGCATTTGTGATATTTTTGAAAGAATCCCCATAGATCTACATTCTTGAAATTAGATCTTCTTAGAAACATTATAATCTCTTATAATTCCAAGAATGCCAGCATTTCACATGAAGCAGAAGAAAGGTAATTAGTTCTTGGTGGAGTAATATTATACCACATGATTTCGAGCAGTGTGTGTGTGTGTGTATACGTTGAGGCATCGGGTGTCATGGAAGTATATCTAACATGCTGCCTCACTCATTCAGAGATGTATTAGATTACACTGTTCCTAGAAATGGACATATTCCCAAGAAGACAACTCATTTCCTTTCCTCTGTATTGGATAGAGAACTACAGACTGACAAACCCAGAGGACCAGGGAAATATCTGAAGCTGATGAAGCTGATTTGCAGGTGGTCATGTACTCTGCATCATGAGGAACACTAAACTAGAATCAGTTTTTGTTTCTTGAACTTTTTGAAGATGACTGAAAATGAAAAGCATTATTCAAGAACCAGGACAAAAAAGTGGGAGTGCTTTCTACTCCACCTCCATGACAGAAATCAAAGAATTTACTGAAAGCCATGAAAGCATTGACCAAAATGGAATTAAAGGAACTTATGTCATCAAGAATCTGGGTGATATGCATAAACCCAGTATTGGGTACTCTACCGATGATGGCTCCTTTGGTGGAAATATTTTCATCAATTCACTGCCCTTATCAGTATGTTCTACAGGAAGTCCAATTTTTTTTAAATATCCATGGATATGAAAAAAGATGATGTGATCAGAATCATCATTATACTTCTCTTATTTTTAAGGCAAAATAAGTTATAAACATTATTGTAAAACTTATTGGGCCACTGAGAGATTTTGCTTGTGCATATATTTGTGTGTGTTTTTGTCCCTATCAGTCAGGTTGGAGAGTTTATAAAAGAAAGTTAGGGATTGGTGGACCATTTGTTTTTGGTAGAAGACTCATACATTTCTGGTGTAAAACCTGCTTCTTGGTGGGATGTGGGCATCAGAATCACTTTGAAAAGAATTTCAAAATTCAGTTTGTTCTAGGCTCTTCAATTTGGTGGTGTCAGTCCTTCCTGTGAAAAGTTCTCTCCAGTAAGCCTGTAGTTGAACAGATTTGGATAGCACTTACTGTGGTGGGAACAATGGTGTGTCGAGTAAGAAGGAAGAACCTATCACAGGCTGTGGGGTTGGGTAGGGAATTTGGGAGAGGATTCAAAGAATCAAGGAGTCAGCCTAGGTTGGGTGCTGTCACAAAGTGGGAGATATTCCATAATATAAGCAAATTTTATCATAAGGGTTCACAATAAATCCAACCCAAAACTTGGGAAACTAATACAAAGCTAAGTGTGTATGTGATTAAAAAAAAAGAGAAAATTTCAGTGTGTCACTTTTGCCAAAAAGGCGGCATTTGGTATTTTTTGGATGACACACTGACCTTGTTTTCTGAGACAACATTATGCAGTGTTTTTGCTTGGTGTCATTTCTTGGTGGCGTCTGAGTCATTTTGTTGGTTCCCAATGACAGTTTACATTCGGGGGGAGAATATGAGGACCCATCTGGCTTCCAAACGCCAAGGGCAGCTTGGTTTTCTTTCTTCATTTCTCCTGCATGCTTTCTTCTTTGGCAAAGCTAATGGCTACCATTTTTTCATGATGCACTTCCAAGCTTTTATTACAAAATATTTCAATCATATAAAAAAGTAAAAATAATATATTAAGCATCGTGCACCTATCAAACAGCTTACAAAAAGATTACAGATAAAAGCATTTGAACATTTTCCTCAGAACCTAATCCCTCTTAGGAGGAAACTATTAACCTGAATTTGATGTTTATCATGCTTGAGAATGATGTATTTCCTTTCCCTTTAAAAACAGATGTGTAATTTTATGGTCTCCATTCCTAAGAGTTGTATAAAATCTAACAAATACATACTTTTGATCATTTTTATAGTGATGTTATTCTAAATAACAGCTTAAGTTACAAATGATGTAAAGAATCATACTTTACACGGGTATAAAAATGCACATTTATATGTACTGTTAAACATTATAAACCAATTGTAATCATGCCATCTAGTACCTTGTTCATTTGTTTTAAGTGCTCTACAGTGACTTTAATCTCAGGGGCAATTTGTTGATTTTATTCAGTAAGACATTGAGTGGATTTTCGCTCTTCCCCCCAGAGACGCTGATAAACATTTTTGACACAAAGTGACCTGCATCCAGTGGAAATTCACATTTTATGCCATAACAGACCATTTTAATTTCATGAAGCAAAGGATTGACTTCTACTTGCAAATAGCACTAAAGCAAGCAACGCTGTCAAAGCAAGTGGCCTGGTACATCTAGAGATAAACCTGCTGCGTTAAATGAAAGACCTTCGTTCGCTTTGATTGTACATTTCTGTATGGCACAAGCATTAATTAAATCCATCAGTGGTTTCTGCCTTCCAGGAGAACATTTTCTGTCTGAAAAGAAATGTCAACTGAAGATGTGTGGCACAGGGGACCTCCCATTAAAAACACGGTCGCTTTCACTCAGAGAGAAGCTCATACTTGCTGTGCCCACTTACAGACAGTCGGGGAGAGAACATAAGCATCTCTTAATATTCCCACAGCCTTCCTGACTAACAGAGCCTGGGGAGGGGGACTCTTGCACCGTTCAAGTTTCCAAAGACAAGCACACTTAAGACTCTGACATTTGTTTTCACCTGAAGTTACTTGGGACATTTCAAATGAAAGCAGGAAAACAAACAAACAAGGCTTGGAAGGTTTTGAAGCGCTGTCCCTTATCTGATAGGAAAACAGAGACCAAGTAGAGCATCAGCCTTAACTGAACTCCACTAGGTGCTTGGATGGCACTGCGTTCATATGTGAGGCCCAGAGAGAGTGTGGGGCAGATGGCTGGAGAAGTACATGGGATGAGTGCCCCAGTTTCCAAGCAAAATATTCAGACGGGTAAAATCTACCCAAAGTCCTGTACTGATGTCTCCCTCTTTCTCATTGCAGGGGAGCACTTAAGAATTTGTCCTCAGGAATACACGTGCTGCACCACAGAGATGGAAGACAAGTTAAGTCAGCAAAGCAAGCTGGAGTTTGAGAACCTCGTGGAAGAGACGAGCCATTTTGTACGTACTACTTTTGTGTCGAGGCACAAGAAATTTGATGGTAGGTGAAAGAGTTTGCACTTTACTTTGTTATTGGATGTGTTTTCAGTGTGAATGGTGCCATTATCAGAAAAGCGTTTCTGAAGAGGGTGCTGTTCATTCCTTTTTAAGCATTTCTCGTAGAGTCTATTTTTAGACAAAGCGTAAGCTTTTCTTGAGAGTAAGTTATACTTTAGTATTCTCTTGGGAAAATATAAGTTAACAAAGAGCATTTTTGCATTTGTGCTTTGCCTCTGAGGTTTATCCTAAAAGATTTACCTCACTTTTGCATTATTAGAGTGATTCTAATTAAGGTTTTTCACACTATAGCTTTTCTTCAGTTTTCATGAGTGGATTTTCTTAAAAAATTGTATTACTTAATATGAAATATAGCATCACTTGTAAGAGGACAGGCTTGTCCTCACTGTCAGTGCCATGGACTCCTTTGCTTCTTTGCTATTTTGATGGTCTAACACATTGTACCTCACAGTTTTGGGGTACTCTGCATTGAAGTTAGACCCTCCCCTGTTTTTCATGTCATAAGCACTGACTTCATATCGATATTTTCTCTGCTAATTGAACATTTTCATTGGAAATCACAAAGAGCACATTCTCATCAGAGCTTCGGAAAGAATTCAACTACATTTTGATGTTTCAGAATAGTGTTAATATAGCTGGAGATTAATGTTTTGCAATGATATGTAGTTCTTACCGTCCTAGCAAGTGAATGTGCCTTACTGTGATGCATTCTGAGCTTGACTTGCAAGTTTTGGCAAGCTTCGGAGGGCCCTATTGGACACAGGACGCTGCGCTCCAGCAACAGAGGTGCTATTCATTTTCTTCACGCTCTCCAGTCAACGCACAACAGAGCCAGTGAGAAAGCTTGCCAGCTACTTTCCCCACTCCTTTTTCTCTGTGTAGTAGGTAAAATGTTCCACTTCATTGCCGCTTTAAACCATTATTGTAACAACGGTTTCTTTCAGTTTAATTCCCTGAGTTATAACAGACAGGTCCACAGGTGTTTTCAGTGTGCGTGACAATGTGACGATTTACATGGAAGTGTTTGGTATTTAGCCTGTACAACACCTTCACATCTTTTCGTCATTTATTGCTCATGTATAACTTTATCTGTGGCCACTTATGAAAATAATTCCCTAGGATGTGCATGTTGGTCCTTAATTGCAACTAGGGAAAACTTGGTGTTTGCCATTTATTGGCTGATTACAAAGCCAGCGGCATTTAGGAACCCCTGGTAGGGTGTTTTTGGGCTGACTACAATCTATCATTTCAAACTGAGCTGAATTAAGACATCTTGTCACTTGTAACTGGAAGAAGGTATATGTGATCTGCTGTTGCTGATTTTTATTTATATCTTTGGAAAACAACTCTAACACATTTGCAAAACTCCAAAAATGCTGAAATAATTCCAGGGCAGTATTCACAGTGGCTAATATATATTCTTTTTAAGAAAATTCTTATATATTAGGTGGATTTATGGAGAGTTGATTTCTTAGACAAGTGAAGCTATTCAACAAGACTGAGGTAGATACTTCATATTATTATCATATCCATAAATTTTAGTAGCTCTGGGTCTACAGTACTTCATCTCAGATCGCTTTTGTCTTATTAAAGAAACCACTCTCTCTTTCTCTATCCTTCTCTTTTCACAGGTTTGTTTTAAATTGTTCTAATGTACTTAGGGCCATGATGTCAATCAGTTTGACACAACATTGATTTTGCTAAGATTAGATCTGCCATAGGTTAGAGAGAAATTCTTTAGGAACACTGCATTAGGCTGTCATGGCAAAGAAGTTAAGTTTGTTTTTGTTTTTGTTTTTGTTTTTCTTGATGAAGGTTTCAGAGTTAAACAAAAAATCTAAATGTATTCCTGGTAAATCATGTCTTGAAAATCTCATTCTTAAAATAACAATAACACCAACAATAATAACAACAGTCATCACTATGATGATGATGTATCAATTTAGAAGTCACCATCATGATTTCTGCCCTTTTGGCAATTCTGACACACAGTAGTCTGATCTACTTTCTTACAGCACAGAGGTGTTCCTGCTAGTGGACCTTTTAGGAGTGATGTGTTGGGGATTGAACCCAGACCCTTGGCACTTGTTAGGCATGTGTTCTACCATTGACGTACATCTCCAGCCCTACTGACTTAAAAAAGCACTACCCCATGACATGTATTAATGGGTATCATTTGGTGAGAATGTAGAGAAATGGTCTAGGATCAACTGTACAAAATAATCTGAGCTTTATTTTTTCGTGTAACTTCAATGGTGTTTATGAAGGACTTTGAGTTTCTTCTTAGTAACTTTAAGTTTGGTGAATCATTTTGCATTATTACTGGTGTCTATTTTTTTTTTCTTCTCTCTGCCAAACACCACAGGTAGCCAGAAGTTCAAAAGCAAATCAACACAATCATATTCAAAATGCAGCCAAAAGGAAGGTCATTTCTGTGCACCCACTCGTGTAGCTAGAATTTTGTGTTTAGCAACATCTGAGCTGTCAGACTGGCATTTGTATGTAAAATCTCACAGCTTGCGTGCTTCTGGATCTTAGGAAAAGGAGAACGACTAAGCATTCTGACAGTAGTCTGAGTACTGAGAGGTAATTCCTGGTGCTCTTCCCTCACCCTTTTCGTGCTAATGCTATTTATCAGGGATAAACTGCAGTGGAAAGTCAGAGCTGTTAAGGGGCAGAATGAGGATTCTGGGCCAGGCTGAGCATACCTGGATTCCTGTTCTCAGCCACCTTTACCCCAGAGTTCTCCCAGGGTTTTCCAGTCCCCAGATGTGCTGTCATTTCATGGTCATTGAGCTATCCCTCTCTCTCCCCTACCTGTTCTGTCCCAGTTGTTGTGGGGAGGAAGTGGGAATAACTGTCAGAGAGAAGTGCAAGGGGATTTTTTAATCCTTAAAAAAGAAACTTACTCACCTAAATATAGTCCAGCCCTCAAAGAGCCGGGAGCCTCAGGGAGGAAAAGGACTTGCCAAGTTTCCACCAAGAACGAGGAAACCAAGTTTATAATTCCGTGCTTCCATCACTCTTCGTAATGTTATAGAAAATCAGGATTGGTTGAAATTCTAACTAACTGTATTTTTTTGAGTAGACAGTGGCAAAGACTTAATGATATTTCTTTATCAAGGTAGTAATTATATTGATGGGTAAAGAACCTGAGAACATTTCTTGTAAAGATAAAAAAATTTATTTAGTTGGAAATTTTTCTTAAATTGAAGAGGAATATTACAGAGTCATTGAAGGCACATTACTTATTCTCCTTGCCCCATAAAACCTACTGGATTCTATCTTAACATAGACACCGGCACACTATTCTCCAAGAATATGTTTGTGGAATACGGATTATTCAGAGACAGAAAAATGTGCAGAAATGGATATTTCACTCTGTTTTTCCCCCTCTGAATTTATTTGAGCTACAATTTTTGCAAATTGGAGCTACATACGAGGTTTTAAAATTTAGTATATTCTTCTTGATCTTATTAGTTTTCTTTTCTTGCTGGTTGTTATTTATGTATTTTAATGATATACATTTGTCCAGAGATTCTGGCAGCAAGTGCATTTTAAAAATCAAAATAAAATTAAAAAATGCACCGTAATTTCCAATCTCAGGAAGAATGTATTCTATAGTAATTCTCTCAGAATACCCATTGCACTGAATGTGGAAATAATTTATATACAGAAGCATAGTATTTTTATGCTGCAAATCTGTTCATGTTTTCTTTTTAAATATCATTTCTCATCTATATACGGTAGAGATGACAATATGTAATGACTTCTTTAAAATATAGCCTAATTTTCTCAGAGAATACACTTATATGAAAAAGAAAAACCCCTAAGTAGTTTTCCATATGGTGGTAAAATCTTCCATATTTCCTGTCACGTGGGTAATATTTTGTGTATGTGTGTATGTGCATATGTATGATTTGTACTTGAAAATGTTTATTTAAAATCCCATATAGAGAAGACACATAGCTACACATACTATAGATAAAAAGATGATTTATAATGACTAAAATATGATCATTGTCTGTCCAGAAATTTGCCTTTTCAGGAAACATAAATGAAAACTAACGTAAAAAATAGGATTAACTGTACCCCTAGGTAGGAGTCCATTGGAAACAGAGAGAAAGGAATGATAAACCACAGACCAGGATGCATACAGAATATTTTAAGATTATGATAAAAGGGGCTGGGGATTTAGCTCAGTGACACAGCGCCTGCCTGGCAAGCACGAGGTCATGAGTTCAATTCGTGGTACCAGAAAAAAAAACAAAAAAGAATAAATAAATAAATAAATAAGAGTATGATAATTAAAAGACTGGCAAGAGGAGGAAAAGAAGTTTAGAGGTTTGTATGCATAGCCACAAAGTCCTTAGGACTTCTCATCATAGTTGTAGATTTTTCTCCCAACAGTGTAAAATTACTAACACAGCATTTATCTGTTATATACACATTCTATAGGAATTTTTTATCTCTTTTTCTGGCTACTATTGTTTTTGTTTTCTTTTGTTTTGTTTTGTTTTGTTTCTTTCTGGTACCAGGAATCGTACTCATGACCTCATGCTTGCCAGGCAGGTGCTGTATCGCTGAGCTAAATCCCCAGCCCCCTACTATTGTTTTTTGAACAACCAATCTCACAATTCCAGGGCATGAAAAGAACCGTTAGTCCTTCTTTAGTACATCTTTGGTCTTACTGTTGTAAGATGTGCTCAGCTTGGCTTGACTCTAAATGAGGGATTCATGTTAATGGGATCTAGATGTCACTCATTCATTTGGAAGCAGAACTATAACCTGGGCGCATTCTTCTTTTTGTGCAGTTTGAAGACTCTAAGACAGACAAGTGCAAGCAGGATGCCCCTTAAATCTTAAACAAGAGTTGGCACTCTGTCTTGCCAGATTTAATAGGCCAAAGTAAACCTTGTGGTCAGTTCCCCACACTATTGGGGTGGGAATTCTACTACTCCACGGAGGTGGAGATGGAGGAAA